CTAATATAAGAGCAATACATAATTTACATGAAAGGACCAGGATGCCCCTGATTAGTGATGGGACACCCAGTCTAATAAAACACAAGATACAATTAGGCCCAGTTACTAAGGCCCAGTTACTAGAGACTCTAATACCCAGCCCAGACAAGAGAATAACAACATATCAGCCGAACCAACACATTACTCTCCCCTCCATTAAGTATCCTAATCCATGTTTCTCATTAATAACTACTTTAACTATAACATGGTTATTTTTTAAAGAAAACCAAGAATATACTAACTAGGAGTTCCCTAATTAAAAAGTGATAATATCCATTACTTAAAATTTAGTGACGCATAGTTTTTAATAAATTTATTGATATTGATAAATGTAGGAAGCAATAACAAATCCCCCTAGGCCAATTGTAGCTCTTAACGGAGAATCCAACTTCTCCCCAAGGGTAGCAGACTACATGGAAAACTGGTTTCTTTCTTCATGGATTATTTCCCTACTTCCATGCCTGTATCATATGACTTGCTGCAACTAGAGGACTCTAAAAGAGCAAAGGAGAAGCCCAAAGAAAATTGTATTGAGGTGGAAAAATGTAACAAGTACATAAGGATTTACAATTTGACAGAAAACATGGCTCTTGATAGAGCATAACAGTGGGACAAGATTATTGTAGCCCAACTCAAATAGTTGGGGTTAAGAAAAAGTTCAGTTGAGTTAAGCAGTATCTTATAAAATACTGAAAATGGTATTTAAAATAAATACATTTTCAATCTATTTAATTATTTTTTTCCGAAAATGTTTGGCTGAAGTTACCAAAATTTCAATGCAACTCCAAAATTAAACTAAAATTGAAATTTTGCAAAGTTTCATGAAATTCAGCAAAAATAGAACCATGCTTGCAACCACAAGATCATTTGTTCATTCACATTACCCAACCAACAACATACAGGTATACATATGTACGGACTAATGATTATTAATAATCATCAAAGTTGTCATCATCTCACTGTATATACTAGCAGTTGTGCATGTGCCAAGCACACAACTGTTATACTTAGAGATTCAACAGGGGAATATGGAAAAAGGTTCAAAAGTCCTAACAGCTGATCATTTAAAAAAGAGGGTTCTTAAGATTACAATCATATATTATTTATGTCAGAACAGTGAAGAGGACATGGTTCATCTGTTCATTAAGTATAAGACAGTTTCAGCACCATGGTATATCTGGGGTTTACTCGCATCAATCAGGCATTCCTGTCTCCTAAGGAGATCTTTTCCAAGTGGCCTTAGATCCAAGGAAGCAAGAAGGCTAGCATTTTTTGGAGTTGCATTGCTTTTCCCTTGCCTGCTAAGGATTCCGGAAGAAGAGAAATAAGAGACTTTGTGCTGCTATAGGACTAGGAAAGATGTTGATTGTTTGGGCACTGGTTCATCCAGAATTTGTGAATGTTAATAGATCAGATTTATAGAAAAGTTTTGAGAAACAATGGATTGGGTGAATTTTGTATCTTAACTACTCATATGAGCTTCTAGAGTGCCACTCATCAGCCTCAAACTGTTGTATTCACTTTTTTCTCCTTAAAAAGTATTTGTGTTTACTATCGAAAAAAAAATACATATTCAACATCAACTTCAAGGTTAATTCAGAAAAATGTAGCAACAAGCCAGGTGAACAAACTGAAGTTCAGACAACAAAATGCACATTTTTTATCAGCAAATAAACATTTATTTACTAATTAATTACTGATTAAAGTACATGACAACAACAACAACAAAATGAGCATTGTTTGTGAGTATAAGTCCACTCAATGCATGCCTTTGAGAAATAGTTAGCTTAAAACCTTGTAGACTTATGGATCAGATTAAGGGTCTCCTTTTGCCCTAATCACCAGCTACTGAAATGTATTTTCATGTCCATTGAGCTTTATGAATAAAGATTTGCTAAACTAATTGGTCATCAAATGGTATACAAGCCATATCATTTCTTTTACATAACAGATATACTAAAATGAGCATATCATGTTGAATTCCATGTATTCAAAACTGTTAAAACGTAGTTTATGGATCAAGCACTGTAACAGTGCAAATAGGATTGTCTCAAAGATGGAAAGCTTAATTTCACTATGTGAAACTCAACAAAACTGAAAGTAATATTCCTTAGTCAAGTTGCTTCTGAGTTTCAATGAAGGTTACTACCAACTGCAAACAATTAAAATTCATGGAAATGACTTAACCAAAACATTAAAAACTCATTTTTCTACTTCACATGGTATTGAGAATTATGATAACTTCATTAAGTTATTTTACTTATAAATATTTCTCTTCTATGCTCTACCATATGAATAACATCTTAACATGTGATAATTAAATGTCATTTTTCAAATTCTTTCCCTTGCATTTGTGGGGCATGGATAATTCATAAAATCTTGATAAAATTCAAACAAGAGAACATAATATAAATTCTCAACAGGTCCTTGCATCATTTAGAAAGAAAATTAAAGAAAAAAGTAAAGAGTTGTACCTCTCTAGGGCCATATACTGCAGCTATAACTTTAGTATTTCCCATCTCAAATGAAGCAGAACTGCAACAAAGACAGGCATTATTCATACCCACTTAGTTTCTCACCTCTCATAAAAGAATAAACAAAATATATATCTAAAATATACATCTCAAATTATATTTAATAGTTTAAATGCACAATACATTCAAGAAAAAAGATTTCATCTGTATATTCCAAAGAAAAAAAAATAATTGGGTAATGACAAAATACCCATCTGCCTTGGCCACAACACCAATCTCTGCACGGATCTGCCTCATCTGCAATGCAAAATTGATTCTTAAACTTTGTACAGAGAAACAAGAAAAACTATATTTTTCTACACAACAGAGAGAGAGAGAGAGAGACTTACTTCCATAGGACGACGGCCATCTAAGCGAAGCCCTTCAGGGCTTACAAATTCCATTATCAAAAATGTGTTAGAGAGAGAAACCAGGAGGGATTTTTGTTTACAAAAATATTCAACTCCTTTTTTTCAGACTGGCTTCCTCACTTGCTCAATGTTTTAGCAGTGAAACAGAGAAGAAACTGAGCAGCATATATGCCAAACCACCCAGAATAACTAGTGGAGCACAAATCAACAAGAAAACCCTAACCAGTAGCACAGGCTTCCTGAAAGTGGAAAATAAGATAAAGATCAATTCAGCAAAGATTATATTTTGGGCAAAAAAAACAAACCCTGACCACAAGCATATTTGATCTTGTTCACTCTTTCTCTGGAAAAGAATAAAATTCTAGAATAAGCAAGAAATGGTAGAATGAACAAAGTTTGCTGCAAACCAATCATTTTGCCAAAACACCAAGACAATAATTGAATGAGAATGAGTGAGAATGGAGATGTACCAGTGTTTTCCTCTATGTTTGCTTCCTTTCCAACAGTAAACTAAAGAAGAAAGTAAATCACCAATGGTAAAGCAAAGAACGGAGATAACGTGGATGTTCTCATTTGCCTCCCTCTATTGTGTGTTCTTGTTCTCTAACGATTGCAGTGATGCAACACCACTAAAGGTCGGATGAGGGTTTCATGCTGCAACGGTCAAATTAGGGGTGGCAAATGGGTGGGTTGGGTTGGGTCATCTTACACCTATCAAAAAAGAGATGTTTTTTGATACACCTAGGTGGGTAGAATAGCAGAGGAGCATCAGGATGATCAAGTGGGAACCTATAAGGGGATGACAAAGAAAGCATCAACAAGTTTTGAGTTTTTTGACTGACTTTTGATGCATCAACAATTTAAAATGCATGTATAAGTTCAATTCAAATTGCATTTACATCAAAATAGGTTATCAGAAAATTTAAAAAAAAAAAAGTATCAGAAATTCCAGTGCTAGAAGGCCCTAGTGCATCACAATTGGTAAAACCAATTAAAGGTTCCATAGGACTAGCACTAGAGATTTTGCAAGGAATCAAGAAGTTACAGTAATTACTCAAAGAACAACTTTCTTTCATCCGGATGATGATACATCCCTTTGCCATCATATTTACAGAGAACAGCTCAAAGCTCAGACCAAATGATACTGATTTCTTTTTTTATATAGGCAAATGAAAAATAAAACAGAGCACAGCAAATAGCAAAAAATTAAATTCAGAAAAATAGAAGAAATTGGAAAATTTTAAAAGGGACAATTTTTGCTTATTTTGATCAGTTATCGAACACGAGTCCATCTCCTTTTAAAGTGGAATACGAGTATATGAACCTCCAGTGGAAAAGAGAAAAAAAAATAAGGAATCACCAGTAGAAACAATCTACAATATAATGTCGGAGGTTCTTTATTTTAAGAAAGAATAGATTAAGGAATCTGAACCAGACAGAACTAAGAACCCTGGATTACCACTTCTGTTGATCCGAAAAGGAGAATGAACAGAGAAACACCAAACGACGTCTGAGACGACGGAGAGGCGGAAAGATGTCTGAGACGAGGGAGTGACGGAGCGACGTCAGAGCCGAAACCTTCGAACAGACCAAACTTCTGACCTCAATAAGAACGGCGGAGGTGAAAAGTTGGAGGGAAGCCTTCGAACTGTACGTCTAACCTCACTGTCACTAGGAATGGCGGAGAAACTGTGGAAGTTCGAATTTCCGACTTTCGAAGCCTAAACAGACCGATGAACCCTCGACCCAACCGGCCAGCCCACTCTAACCCTCAACGTACCCGCATTGACCCTAACAGTCTGTTTGCTTCGTGCGATCAGACGAGAAAATAAGAATATTCGCCTTGTTTTGGACGAAAGAATGGGATATGACAAGAAGTAATTTTTTAAATATCCGAGACATAGGGTCTTATCACTAGGGGTTTGTTTGTTTGTTCTGAAGTCTGACATCTAAAAATATAATTACATGAGGAGGTATATTGATATGGGTGAATTTTTCTTTTCTCTGAACTCTAAATACTGAGAAKATTGTTATGAATTCTGAATTATGAAAATTATCAAATATCCATTTTGACCCCATATATGAAAATTTTTGTTTGTCTTTTTTGTGAGTATCATTAAAAAGCAAAAAGTTGTATAATTGCATTTTAAGAAATAAGAGGAAACGAACAACCATTTTTCTCTTACAATTAAAATATTCTTCTTAGGAGATAACAATTAAGAGAAAACGGACAAGCCCTAAGAAACGAAAACAGCGCAATGAAAGAGAAATCTATCCAGGGTACACTAAAACATCCATCTCCCACCGCTACAATGGCTAAAACTCTGACCATTGAAACCTTCATCCCCAACGAAGGTAGGGCCTCCTGTCATCACTTTCATCSCCATTTTAACATTTTTTTGGTATTTTCTTCACCTGAAAATCTCATTATCTTTCTCCCTCCRATCGAGTTAAGATCCCCAAACGGTAAGGAACCGGGTCAGCATCTTCTTCTTCTCCGGCGAAGGCAGCATTATAGATGTATTTCGTTTGCTTTGTTCATCTTTTTTTTTTTTTTGTATTTTTTTATCAAGATCTCTTATGCAAAGGTCAAATGCGTTGTCTTCTTCCCATGTCTTCTTCATCTAATAACCCTTTATCTTCTTCCCATGTCTCAACAATCAAACACAAAGTGGCAGAAATGGGGAAAATAAATTTTCCCATCCCTACTCATCCCATCCTTGACTGGTGAGAAATGGATAAAAAATAGAATATTTCTAAATAATTAGTTTTTTAGTGTTTGTTTCATAAAATGCAATGAGATGGGATGAAAAGGTTGTGAGATGCAAGATCGCAAAAACAAGTGGATAGGATCGCACCAATGGATAACTCAATCCATATTCACCCGCCACTACGAATGGGTGGGTATGGGAAATCCGAATTAGTTGAAAGCTTTAACTGTATAATAGTATGTGRAACCAATGATAATGCCCTATGCCCATATTAGATCTTGAATGGTGTGGGAAGAACATGATGAGTTGGAGACAAAATCATGCACATTGGGCAGGGCTACTACACACAAAATCATGCCCAGCCTGGTGTGCATGATTTTTAATGATGTATTACTCTCTCGTAGCGGAACCCCATCTATCCCATGGTGCATTCCTGATGATTTTTAACTGCATTACCAATTCCAATGAGAAGCGGAGAATATGAACCTCGAGTTTCACAATTAAGTCGTGTCATGATAACCAGTTACGACTTGTGGATCCTGAAGAAGGAATATTGTATAAATAAATTTCATCCTGACAACAAACCATGTTATGCATATTTACCAAAACAATTCACATCAATCAACATATATGGCGTCCCTACGTACGTATTGATGTTTTATAGCCAACAAGCTCTACTTGTAGAAACATTCCTAGACTTCAACAGAAATTGATCATTTGATTGAGAATATTTAACCACTCTACAACTTAAATAAGAACATAAAACAAAAAGCTAAACATGCCACTAAACTAGTTAATATTTCAAATATTGTTCATCCCAAGAGAGCAAAATTTTATTTAAACTTGCACTGGCAAAATTTAATCTGGTTACGCATGAACCAGTGAACATATTAAGGCATTTAATCTGGCAATGTTAAGCTAAAGTACAAGAAGAAAGTGGATATTTGTGAACATATGACTTCTGGATGACCAAGCCATTTAATCTGGTTACGCACGAACCTCCTGCACACATTGGGGGCGTTCTCCCCAACTTTCAGCATTCATTACCTCAAAAGGTGGAGAGAGAACTTCCTCACTTCCCCTTCCCCACAAAGAAAACAGGACTCTAGATTAACGACTTAACAAAAGAACAAGAAGAAAAGAAAAGGCACCAACCATAACTTTGATAGGTGTAAGGAGAAGTTTTGTTACTCCAAACAAAGACAGAGAGGGTATGAGCTCAAGCTAGGCTTTGTGGCTCAATTGAATTACAGTGGCAGCGAGATAGAGGGCAAAGATAGCCGAAAGTGGCGTGAAACAGAGAAGTGGGGGTGAGAGAGAGATCGACAAAGGGGGGAAGAGAGAGAGAGAGAGAAAAAGTGTTGGGGAAAGGGGTTCAYTGTAACGTTGGAGGAGAAGCTTTGAGACGCATCTGAAGACACTGTCTTTAGAACGTTATTTGCCCCCACTCAATATCACTGAATTTGTTGTTGGGTTACAGGCAAACTCGTTCCCACGATACAATAGAGCCTTGGGCGAGAATCTGCAACCAGCAAAGTTGAAGAGTCTCCAAAAAAACCTTCTGTGAGACTGTAACAGACCGGACTGAGAGAGAGAGAGAGTGAATTTCGAAATTGTGTGTTTTTGGAATTTGATTCATGCTCCTTAAATAGTTTATGAATAGGTATGAAGAAAAGGTAGGTGTTAGTTTAGAGAAGGCACCTTGAACAGTCACAATTTCAAATATTGTGACTGTTCAAAAAGTGGTTAACAGTTAATGACTGTTAACTTTGATTTGTGCCTCTTGATTACACCCGATTGAATCATGACCGTTAATCTCATCAACAGTGATCAACGATCAGCATCGCACCAAAACCAAAGCCGCCCTTCGCGAGCCACGCGGGTGCGAGCAAAGTGCGCCTCTAAAGTGCCTCATTGAGCTGCACACACACGTGCGCACGCGTTGCACAATATCAAACCCCCATACTCTCTCCTCYACTATTTCTAAAGAGTGCAATTCAACTCCTATTAAAATACTGAAAACAAAGCTTATAATTTTCCAATGTGGGACAAGTTCAAAATTGGGTTTTGTAAGAAAAAAAACTAATTTTTCAATCAAGTGTGTAGGTGCAATTTCTCATGTAATTGACCAATCAAACCCATTGGATTTAATCTAGGCCCGATGGCCGGGCCGAGCTCGAGCTCGGGCTTGCAGATTTTCTATTTATAAAGAGGCTTGTATTAATTATAAAACTATGATATTTTATAAATTAAAATTTTAATTTAATTCTAGTCTAATATAAAAAATTTATAACATTTCTATATATATATATATTAATATAAAATTTGTTATTTAAATATTATATAATAATACTTACCATATATGCAAATAACTTCCAAGTTGAGCTTATTAGGGGTTATTTAGCTTGGGCCCTATCCGCTAAAGCCATCATTGGACTCCGAAAGTTTGATACCCAATCAGATTTTGAATTTGATTGTCCTTGATAATGTGTGGGCATGGTGCATATCTCAGCTAGACCTAACTCAAAAGAAAATAGTTGCTTGAACCTACAAATTTATAGATTTAATAGTTGCTTAAGTTAGAAACAATTTGTTACTTTTTATTAATTATTAAAATATTGTAATTATTAAATTACTGTATTTATTTAAAATATAGTAATTTTTGGAAATTATCATATTTTCAAAAATATTACTAATTTGTTGGCTAAAACTAATTAAATATAATTTTCTGATAATTAAATATAACTTTTTGGTAATTAAATGTAATTTTTATACTATCTATAACTTAAATTATAATTACTATTAATTACAGTTTAAAAACAATTATTTTTACTTATATTACTATTAATAATTAAAATGCATTATTTTTTCATTATTATTCAGTAATTTCTGCAATAAAATACAATTAATTTAATTTTTTTTAATAATTATCATTGTTCAGTGGGCATTTACACAATGTAAGAAACCATCCAGACAATGGGCACTAATGGTGATGGTTATTATTATTGAGATAAAACCAGTGTTTTTTTTTTCATCCAATACCTTGGTAGTTCACTGCAATTTTTGGAAGAGTGACCTACGATTTACAAATCATCCATTGCTGTGGGATTATATCCAATGGTCAAAGTTTGTCGGTCCAATACACTAAGACTTAATAAGAATGCTGATTTGGAGACTTTGGAAGAGACCAGTCGAACAAGCAGAGAATTCCTAAACAACCAATGTCTTGTATTTGCAATCAACGTCCCTCATAAGCAGCCTCTTGTAAGTCCTTCCATATGACCACACCCCATGAATAACCTCTTCAGGCCAAGGTTCAAAGTATGGATATACTTGCTTGATGCCAAAATTTTCAGAATCAGGCATGTAAAGCACATTCCTGTTTTTGGTACTTTTCTGTCTGATATTTCAGGAATGATATTATGAAGGTTTCTAATACATATTGTACAACTAATATAGTAGAACACATTGTAATACTTTTGAAGTTTGAACTTTGATTCATGCATCCCATATTAATAAAAAATAAAAAGGCAAGCTCTGAAGCCATAAAATAGACCATATACCCTATTTGTCTATCAAGGTTCAAAATTTTAAATGTCGCAAATCATATTGATAATGGCGATATGCGTGTATATGGTGTAAATATATGGATACTTTTGAAAAAATTCTTACAAATTTGATAAATACATTAATAACACTAAAACTATTTATATTTTGTTCTTTCTGAGAAATTGTGTCTGGGCTTTCGTCATTATGCAACTATTATATTTTAGTTACTAAGCCAACTTTTTTTGTTATTATTTCTACTTTTGTATATAAACAAAAAATATGCCAACTTCATTTGAAATTCTTAATACGCTAGTCAATTACTATAAACAGCTTATTAAAAATTACTATACCAATCGATACAAACAATACGGGAGGAATGGTCTTAAATTATCAAACCATTCCACCCATATGCCCTGTGTTTATCCTGTCTGATACCATGTTAGTATACATCTTTAATTGTGTTTAATTGTTTTTCATTTTTTGTGTATCAAAAGTGGAAAGAAAGCAGATCGTTTTCACTTCAAGATGTGTTTGTTT